TGAACTCTAGGTCTGACATCGTACTAATGTCAGTATTGAGTAGGTCCCTGGCAGACGGTACTACCTCTTGTTCTTTTTGCTGAAGTGATTTTTTTCTTCCAGAAAGTGTCGCTTTTCTGTTCAGAGTGTTGTTACTATTCTTATCTTCGATCTCCTTTTGAGTTCGTAGGTGTTCAGAATGGTATGATCCCCATTCAGCTGAATTCCTGAGACCAGACGAAATCCAGGTCTCCTACTCCTCCGCCATCTTGCTCTGCCCCCTGGCAAACATAAACTTAATAAAATTTGAGACTTACCCTTTGAGTTTGGGAATGAGGCAGTATTATCTGGTATCATTGCTTCTATTTAATATTACACTTGAGGTTTCTCCTCACCAGTGCAATAAAGCAAGTAAAAGAAGTAATGGAAAAGAGGAAATATAATTGTCATTCCAGATGATATAAATTTGCATGAGAAGAACAAAGAATCTCTTCTAAATTATTAAAATAAATAAGTAAATCTAGTAAGTTCACTGTATAGGAAAATTAATTGTATTTCCATTAGTCAGTACAATTGGAAATTGAATTTTTTTAAAAAGTCCTATTAACCATTGCATCAAAAAATATAAGATACCTAGGAATAAATCCAAATGTTTTATAAGACTGCAGAAAGAAAACAAATCATTACAGGGATATTTTAGATTTTAAAATTAATATTGAGATAAAAGCACCAAAAATAGGAAAATATTGATGGAGAAAATTGGAGGACTTAGTCTATGGCATATATAAAATTAATGTAAAGGCATAATAAGTAAGATTTTGTTATATTGTTATAATATTAGCTAAAACAATACAGTATTATAGAATCCAGAAATCGATGCACATAAAACAAAAACAAACTGAAGAATAATAGGGGAAAAGATGACCTTTCTAATAAACAACCTAAGTATCTATTAATAAATGAATAGGTCTAAAAATAGGTATATTAATAGAATGAAATATTATACAACATAGTGGTTCTGAAAGGGTGGTTAGCGGTACCTTAAGAGTCCCTGAGGCTCTTGCAGGTGATCTACAAAGGGAAAATTGTCTTGATAATAATACCAAGATATATGTGCCATCTTCACTGTTATTCTCTCACAAGTGTCCAGAGTATTATTCCACTTATATGAAGTTCAAGACCAGGTGAAATTAATCTCATAGGGCAAAAATAAGAAATTAGTTGTATCCAGGGATACAAGTGGAAGAGATATGAGGGATGACAGATTTAGTACAGTTTCTGTTCCCCATTTTAGTTTACCTTTAAGAAATTACACTTATAGAGCTTCTGTAGTGTCAAAGAATATCCATAATAATCTGAAAAAGACATTTTCTAAGTCCTTTTCCATTAAAATATCACCCATTTTTCAATTATAAGTTTTAAAAAATTCTCGGGTGTTTATCCAAAGAATACAAAAACACTAATTTGAAAGGATATACGCACCCTTATGTTTACTGCAACATTATGTACAATAACCGAATTATGGAAGCAGCCCAAATGTACATCAAAAGATGAATGGATAATGAAGATGTGATATGTATATAAAGGAGTATTATTAGGCTATAAAAAGAGTTAAATCTTGCCATTTGCAACAACATGTATTATGGATCTAGAGAGTACAACACTAAGTCAGAGAAATACAAATACCATATGACTCTACTCATATGTGGAATTCAAGAAACTAAATGAACAAAGAGGAAAAAAGACGAATAAAAAAACAGGCTTTTAACTATACCAAACAGATGGTTACCGGAGGGGAAGTGGATGGGAGGGATAGGTGAAATAGGTGAAGGGGATTAAGAGTGCATTTATCTTGATGAGCACTGAGTAATGTACAGGATTGATGAACCATTATATTGTACACCTGCAATGAATATAATACTGTATGCTAACTATACTGGAATTAAAATTTAAATAAATAAAGTTTTAGAGGATTCTTGATTACTATTATCAGGAAATAAATAGAGCCTTCTAAGATTAGAAACATCAACTTCATTTCCTCTTCATTACTCCTCTTTTCCATATTTTTTTTTCATTTTAAACAAGAAGTTTATTTAAACAAGATGCTTGGGCTCCTGGGTGGCTCAGTTGGTTAAGCGACTGCCTTCGGCTCAGGTCATGATCCTGGAGTCCTGGGATCGAGTCCCGCATTGGGCTCCCTGCTCAGCAGGGAGTCTGCTTCTCCCTCTGACCCTCTTCCCTCTCATGCTCTCTATCTCTCATTCTCTCTCTCTCAAATAAATAAATAAAATCTTTAAAATAAATAAATAAATAACAACAAGATGCTTGACTTGAAGGGAAAACTATCTAGGATTCATTTCTTTTAGAGTAATTTATCCCTACTTAAAGATAGATTGCCCTACATGTTAACAGCTACGAACAAAAAAGTTATAAAATTGTCCTTGGTTTTACAATGATAAATGAAAAACATTAAAATTCTCCAAACGAACAAGGTATGCAAGGATTTTTGTGTTGTTCTTTTTTTGTTAAACTGTGAGAGCAAAATAACTTACTGGAATATAAAGACAAGAGCTGACTGAGCATGCCACTAATGGAGAGAGGTGGTATTTTCACAGAAGCAGTATTTTCCCCCATGCCATCTCCATTTGATGTCGATCAAAACATACCATTGGCCATTTAGTTAAAAAAAATGCAATATGCTTGTGCACATACACAGTTACTTTATGTACAATAAAGGAATGGGGAAGGAGAAAATAAAAGAATAGAGAAAACTATACTGTAGTAGTCAGGATGTGGTAGAACCAAATTGCAGCTTTCTAATTGAGAATGTCTCCTTGCTGGAGGAACAGAGTTCTGGAGTAAAGTAGCAGGTTCCCTTTTTAGTAGACACCTCCTGTCTGCTGCTGGAACACATCAATTGTATCTTCATCCTCCATTTCCAACTGTGCAGGTGTGACTGTTTCATTGATTGGTTGCCCATCAAATCGGAATCTGATCTGCCTCATTGACAAACCCTGTCGTTCACAATAGGCTTTCATTAGTTTACTAAGTGGTGTATGCCTCTTAATCTTAAACTGCACCACAGAGCCATCCTGCCCCGCCACCTTCAAATTAATATGATCATTGTTCTCAGTCTTGACTCCTTCTTTGGGCTTCTCATCGGCCACGGCAAGCACCCGAGCCTCCTCAGCTGCCACTTCGCAAAAGAGGTACCAGGTCCGCACTGAAGGAGCACACAAGCAGCACCAGGAGGGGCCGAAGAAGGAGGTGGCAGCGGTGGAGGAGGGCGAGCCTCTTTTCCATATTTAATCATAGGTAGAGACTAAAATGTATTACTAAAGCTCTTATAATTTTTCATTGTCCTTTAACCATTCTGTTATCTGAATTAATAAAGCAATCATTTTTTTTTTCCAAATTCAACTTCAGACTGGTTACACAAACTAATCTCACTTGAGATGATTACCAGCAGTGGAGATAGTATTTCAGTACAATCAAAGATTAGCTGTGGAACACATGAAAAACCTCAAGTTTTCCAGATCCTAGTACAAAGATGTCAAGGAGAATAAACTAGGGTCTTGGAGAGAAATAAGAGATTAATTGATACTGGGAATGAATAAGAAATATTTTTATCTCCTACTATGTACAGGAACTGTCTAAATTTATATTAATGTTGAAAATAACACTGTGAAATAGGTGATATATTTTTTCCTGTTGGAATTTGTCAAAGGGGCTTTCATATAACTATCAATGATCTAGCCAACATTGGTGGCCTTCCAGTTCATTATAAATGTATCACAGTCACCAGAAGTGATTTAAATATGGTAAAACTCTAATCATGGCACAGTTGATATTCTGTAGTCACTAGAATTAGAGATTTAAAGACATAGAAACCAGGTTGGTTCTGCTTAAAGAAAAAAATATTCAGTAAGTCAACCAATACTGGAGATCTTTGGTGCCCCCAAATGTTCCATAGACTAAAACATATGAGAACTAGCATTATAGAACATATGAGAACTAGTATTCTAGAAGATACTTCCTTAGTTAAAACTCTTTTGAATTCCATATAATCACATTTCATCAACTTTATCCTTTGAATGAATGAATTCTTTCTAGATGTAAATGGCTCTTCACTTGTGTCTCCTGATTTGGAAACACCTATAAGGGTTATATAACATATTTCATTTTTAATTGCAGAAGCTTCAATAATCAGATTAAAGAATTAGAGGTAGAAAATAAAAATAGGAAACTTCTTTTTTTCCATTTTCTCTCTTCTCTCTTTCTTTCTTTCCTTCAAATCCTTCCTTTTCTTTCTTTCTTTCTTTCTTTCTTTCTTTCTTTCTTTCTTTCTTTCTTTCTTTCTTTCTTTCTCTCTCTCTCTTTCTCTCTCTCTTTCTTTCTTTCTTTCTTTCTTTCTTTCTTTCTTTCTTTCTTTCCTTTCAACATTTTTCTTTCTTTCTTTCTTTCTCTCTTTCTTTCTTTCTTTCTCTCTCTCTCTTTCTCTCTTTCTTTCTTTCTTTCTTTCTTTCTTTCTTTCTTTCTTTCTTTCTTTCCTTTCAACATTTTTTGTCAGGATCCAGTATTAACTTTCACTTAACAGCATTCTCAAAAGTATGCCTCTTAGTCAGCTCCCTAGAGGAAATGGTAAACCAATAAAAACAGAGACAGTACAATCATTTTTGGCATGAGAGTAAAACTTATTTGAACACATCAGGAGTCATCAATAAAATATAGTGATGCACAAGATAAATGGAAATATGATATACTGTACAGTTATAGATTAAAGAGTGTCTCTTCTAATATACACATCAGTCTAACAAGGAGATTGTCTAAAGGTCTCTGGTGTCTATCAGGCCATGGAGTCATCCTGGGAAGATACAGTACAGATTATTTAGAGATCCACAAATAGAATACTGCAAATAAACAGAGGGATTTATGTCTTTATGGATTTCAAGATATAACATTTCAATTAGAGAATTACAGTGTTTAACCTTGTGGAATGTCACAGGGTACAAATTTTAAAAATACCTTAGTTGAGGGGTGCCTGGGTGGCCCACTCGGTTAAGCATCTGCCTTTGGCTCAGGTCATGATCCCAGGGTCCCAGGATCAAGCCCCACATCAGGTTCCCAGCTCAGCAGGGAGCCTGCTTCTCCCTCTCCCTCTGCTTCTCCCCCCACTCGAGCTCTCTCTTGCTCTCAAATAAATAAATAAAATCTTTAAAAAAAAATACCTTAGTTGAAGTCATTTATGAGATACTTAACTACTTGATTAAATATTTATATTTAAATATCTAAGATAAGAAAAAAGAAAGAAAATTCCAGATACAGGGGCGCCTGAGTGGCTCAGTAATTCAGTGTCTGCCTTCGGCTCAGGTCATGGTCCTGGGGTCCTGGGATCGAGCCCTGCATCGGGCTCCCTGCTCTGTAGGAAGCCTGCTTCTCCCTCTCCCATTCCCCCTGCTTGTGTTCCATCTCTTGCTGTGTCTCTCTCTGTTAAAAAAAAAAAATCTTTAAAAAAAGAAAATTCCAAATACCTGTCACAGAACATTAATAGGAAAGTTGACTAGATCATCTGAGATAATATCTACATGCTAGGTAAACCCTCAAACCAATTGCTTTCTATCAAAATAATATCAAGCCCCGTGTTGGGCTCCATGCTCAGCATGGAGTCTGCTTGAGATTCTCTCTCCCTCTCCCTCTATCCCTCCTGCTCCTGCTTTCTCCCTCTCTAAAATAAATATATAAATCTTAAAAATAAATTTTCTTTTTAAGTAATCTCAATACCCAGTGTGGGGCTCGAAGTTACAACATTGAGGTCTAGAGTCACATGCTCTACCAATTGAGCTAGCCAGGTACCCCTCACTTTATTTTGAATATTACAATATCATAACCCACAAGACAAATGACATACAATTCACCTTTGAACAACACAGGGGTTTGGGTGCCAACCTCCCATGCAGTCAAAAATCCATCTACAATTTTTGAGTCCCCCAAAACTTAACCTCTAATAGTTTACTGTTGACTGGAAGGAAGCCTTACCCATAACATACACAGTTGATTAATACATATTTTGCATGTTATATGCATTATATACTCTATTCTTAAAATTAAGTAAGCTAAAGAAAAGAAAGTAACTAAGAAAATAATAAGTAAGAAAATACTGTACTGTATTAGTGCTCTAAGTTTACATCATCTGTTTACAAGATAAATCATCTGTCAGTACCTATAGCCATATTGGGTTATATGATACAAAATACTGTAGATGTTACACATACAATTAACATTAGACATCAAAAATGAAACTATGTAAAAAAATTAATATTTATGTACAAGTATAACAATTCATGCATTGATAATGAAGAAGTAATATGATCGTTTTATGATAACCTAGTGTAATCTGTATGATTGCTCAGGTAGCCTAGCCTATACAATAATGACTGAATCCTTATAAAATTTTTATTGCCTACATCATTACAGTCACTCATAATATAGTATTGGAAACAGTATTATATTGAAAAAATGTAGCTGTGATGTAAGGCTGATTCACAGTTTCTCCAATTAATAGGAAAGTTTTCCTATTAAGAGAAATGCATATTGTACAATAATATAATTCTTTGAAAGCAGAGTTATAAAACAGCAAGTAAACTAACACATTTTTAATTTTATTTTAACTATCACTCACCTATGTCTATATAAGAATAGGCTATCCACTTCCATACAAGTCTTGCACACAATTTTCTATGCTGTGAATAGTTAAGTGATAAAGATGATGATGATGATGATGATGATGATAATGATGATGACACAGAAACATCTCATACAGTCCTTGTCTTACAGTTATTAGATTTTCACACAAAGATACTCACACCTATATAACAGGTAAGTTTATTAACTGTACAGCATGATGATTATTTACTGCTCATTAAGTGGAAGTGCATCATTATAAAAGTCTTCATTCTTTTGCTTTTTCATGTATCTAAAAATGTTTCTATATGATACCAATGCTTATTCCACCATCTTCTTTAGTTTCAGTGTCCATATCATAGAAGAGTCTATGTCATAAAAGAAATCAAAAGCAGTCTTGAATAATCAGAACCCTTGTGCCAGATTGTCTAATGTCCATTTGTTTTCTGGCACTGCTTCTTCTATGACTTCTTCCTCATCATCTGGCACTGGTATGAGAGCACTCATCTCTATCAAGTCATCAGTTAATTCCTCTGGTGTGGTGTCAGTTAGCTCTCGAGTTTCTCCAAGATCTGTATCTTGAAACTCTTCACCACCCACCTTTTTTTGTCATAGTCACAATCTCTTTCATGATTTCCTTGATTGGCTCTGTCTATAAATTCTGTGAAGTCATACACAACATCTGGGCACAGTTGTTGGTCCCCCCCACCACCGCCTATAGAAATTTGTTTCAGGCTTGATAACTCTCACAGCATTTTATTTTATTTTATTTTATTTCATTTTATTTTATTATTTTATTTTATTTTATCTTAGTCACCATACAATGCATCATTAGTTTTTGATGTAGTGTTCCATGATTCATTGTTTTCGTGTAACACCCAGTGCTCTGTGCAATACATGCCCTCCTTACTACCCATCACCAGTCTAACCCATCCCGCCACCCCCTTTCCCTCTAACACCCTCAGTTTGTTTCTCAGAGTCCATAGTCTCTCATGGTTCATCTCTCCCTCCGATTTCCCCCCCCCACTTCATTTTTCCCTTCCTTCTCCTAATGTCCTCCATGCTATTCCTTATGTTTCACAAATAAGTGAAACCATATGATAATTGACTTTCTCTGCTTGACTTATTTCACTTAGCATAATCTCCTCCAGTCCCATCCATGTTGATG